GGGGCCTCAGATTGCTTTGTCTTGATTATCTTGTTACTTGTGGTTGAATCTTGAGAATGCAGACATTGTTGTTGGGCTTGCAAATGAGCTCATCAAGAGCAACGCCTTTATTGAACCTCACACAAGGCACACCATTGATCATGCTCTTTCCATTGGCCTTTCCATCATACCTATTGTATCCAATCTCTTCCTTAATTGATGGGTGCCTAGATGACTTGTATATGGTCTTGTTAGATTTCTCTTAACACTTGCACCCATTCTTCAAGATCATCTTCAACCTATGAATCTCCTTGTTTTTTTCTCTAGCTTAACAAGGTTAGTTGCATATGCATTTACATCAATTTTGTAACATCTTTACAACCATTACTAGTGGAGACATTAGAGTCTTCGGTTGCTTTAGGAGAAGTTGAAGTGCTAGCATAAAGCGTACTATAGTTTAGCTCAAGATTTTGGTATTTTTCTTCCAAGCGTGTGAGGCTTTCTTGAGCTATACACTTTTCATTCTTGAGGCTAGCTACTAGATCATTAACCGAGAAATGTTCCTTAGTCAATTTTCTAATTGAGTTATTGGCTAAAGACAATTCAACGGTTAACTTTTCAACCTTCATCTTTTCCTTGGCGATAGATGCTTCAAGTGCAAGGTTTTTATTTCTCTCTTGAGTGATTATATCTCCTTACATCTTCAAACATCTATCCCTCTTCTCTAATTTCTTCATTAGTGTTTTTATTTTAGTGTAGGCCTTTTTACCAAATTTTTTTATCATGGTTGTTTCAAGTTCTTCTATGTTCTCATCGTAGCTATCATACTCTTCACTAGAGGAATCGGATGAGACGTGTACCTTCTCCCCCTTATCTATGAGGCAAGTTGGAGTGTAGTAGTCATTATCGATGAGGTTGGAGAATAGTCTTGGTAATAAAGATAAGTTGGGAAGAGTTTTGGTGGTAAAGATGAGTCGGGGAAGATCATGGTTGGTGACGAAGAGTGGTGGATGGCGATGTTTGTGGCTCCCTTCTTCTTCTTCTCATCATCACTTGAGTCACTATCATTATACTTCCACTCTTCACCAAGATGAGATTCACCTCTCTTCTTGCCCTTGTTCTTCTTGTCTTTATCCTTGTCATGCTTGTGTTTCTTCTTCTCATTAGGGCAATCGGCTATGAAGTGACCAGTTTGGCCACAACCATAGCAAAACCTCTTCTTGCTCTTCTCTTCCCATCACCATATGTCTTCCGGGTGCTCTTCTTCTTCATACGCTTTCTAAAGTTTCTAATGATGAGTGCAACTTCTTCATCGGACTCTTCTTCTTCACTTGAGGAATCATCCTTCACTTTCTTCTTCTTCTCTTGACTAGAGGGTTTGCATTCATGAGCTTGAGTTGCCTTTAGTGCCGCATTCTTGTTATATCCCATTGCATTAAAATTTTGATTATGAGAATTTAGTGCATCTTTATCTAGACACTCATGATGCTTGAGCTTTGAATGAACTTCTTGAGGTGTCATCTCATTATAATCGGGCCTTTCCATGATCATGGACGCTAACATGTTGTTCTTAGCTCTATAGGTTCTCAACATCTTTCTAGCAACCTTGTTGTTATCCCATTTGGTGCTTCCAAGAGCTCTTATGCGGTTGACCAATGCCATGAGCCTATCAAACATGGATTGTGTAGTTTCATTTTGCAAGAACACAAATCTTTTTAATTCACCATGAAGTAACTCAATGTTGCATTTTCTCACACTCTTGTCTCCTTCAAAAGACACTTTCAATGTATTCCAAATTTGCTTTGCACTTTCCATTCCATTCATATTTCTAAACTCATCCGGACTTAGGCTTGACATAAGCAATTCTATGGCTTGTGCATTTTGATGGAGATTGTGCACTTCTTCTGGAGTTATCTCTTTATCTTCATCGGTACGAACCATCACACCAACATCCATAACTTTCCAAAGTCTTGCGGCAATAAGATGCATCTTCATCTTGTAGGACCAATCGGTGTATCTTATTCCATCAAAGTGAGGTGGCTTGCCAATATTGACAGAAGGAGTATGTAGAGGTGAACCTTTTATGAGTTCTCCATAGTCAAAACTCATGTTTGAGTATATTCCTTTTCCATGAGCATGCTCACCGGCTCCAACATCACTAGCGGTATATTTTTTCCATCATTCTTGCTACTAGTTGGATCACTCTTGCCACTTATTGCATCTTCAACCTTCTTGCTCAATTCTTCCTTCATCTTGATCATCTCATCTTGCATCTTTTTCATTTCATCTTGAAAGAACTTGACTTGAGCTGCCATCAACTCTTCAACTATCTTCTTGGCCATTTCGGTGGCTTGGGCTTGCATCTTGTCGGTCTCCGACATTGTTTCTTCTCACACAGTGAAGCGCTAAAGAAGACCTTGCTCGATACCAATTGAAAGGATCTAAACAATGCTTAGAAGGGGGTGAATAGGCGTATCTAAAATTTCTGCGCTACTCAAAGTTAACTTGTCAGTGATAGTCGGAAGTTCTAACTGTTTGGGCCAGAACTTCTGGCACCTGGAAGTTCCAAAGCAAACAGCTAGAAGTTCCAGCACCTACGGGAAATTCACTAGTCTAGTGCCAAAATAAACTTTGAGCAAAAGATATCTTACAATCCCACTCCCTAGTGGTAAGGTGAAGTGTTGGGGTTACTTCTTAGATGCCAAAAGATCACCACTCCGTAGATCGAGTCCAAACCCTAAGAGGTGAGTTGGGAGAGAGATAGAGACAAGCAAACAAGAACAAATATGATAGCACAAATCACAACAACAACAACAAGCACACGGGACACAAGGATTTATCCCGAGGTTCGGCAACCCAATAAAGGAGCTCCTACGTCCTTATTGTTGAGGTGGCCACCAAGGTCGGAGTCTCTTCCACCTCCTTGCCTCTCTCAAAGCAACCACAAAGGTCACTTGAGTTTTCCACTAAGAAATCAAGGGTAATACAAACTTCTCAAGACTCTTCCACAAGATGGAAGCTCTTAGATGACGCCTAGCCGGCTAGGGTTTCAAGAACCCAAGAGTAATAGAATCCAACCGGCTTGACGAAGTGATCAAGTGCTCAAGCTTGCCAAAGTGATTCTCTCACTCAATCCACTCTTCTTTCACTCAAAACCCTATGGGAATCAAAGATTGGAGCAAAGAGGAGAGGAGAGGGGAGCCTTGAATGCTTGGAAGCTGTTTTGGACGAAGGTTGGTGAGCAATGAATGAGTGGGTAACGGTTGAAAGAGAGGAACTCACAGAGAAATCCAACCTTTCAGATCTGAGTCGGAAGTTCCAACACAGATCGCCGGAACTTCCGGCCCTTCTATAAAACAATGTTCAAGCGTAGTTAAAAGGTGGTCAACACAGCTGGAGCCGGAACTTTCGGCAAGAACGTCGGAACTGCCAGCAGCCGGGACTTCCGACTCACGTCGGGACTACCGACCCAGAGCCGAGCCAAGGAGCTAAATCCCAAGGTGCCAGAACTTCTGGCCCCAAATGCCAGGAACTCCTGATTCGTGCCGGGACTATCGACGAGCGATCGAGCGAAGGTGGGCTGCGGCTAAGTCCTCAAGTGCCGAAACTTCCGGCACCAAATGTCGGAACTTCCGACTCACGCTGGGACTTCTGGCTACCAAAAGTCTAAAAACTATATCTAAGTGTTCGTGAGGTGATTTTGTCTCTCTTTTGATTTTATTATAATGCTTGAGCGCTCTATCTCCCTCAGACCACCTGAATTTGCATTCCTCTTTATACTACAGCATATCTAAACCCAAAACGCAATTAAATGTATTTGAAGCACGCTTTGGGTTCGTTCGCCTCTTGCACTTGAAGAATTGAGGGAAATCATTTCATCTTAGATCAACTCTTTAAACTTTTCAAGGGACTAAAGCTGCAATATATCTCATTAAGATCTTATTAGTCCCTAATTTAGATGTCATCAATACACCAAAACCCACATAGGAGGCAAATGCACTTTCAAGGAATACGACTTCAATGCCAAAGACGACGCGTAGATTAGGGTTTCGCCTGCTCCCAAGTTCAGCCTGTGGCTTAGGCTATCTATGTTTAGTTTCTATTGTGTAATGTATGTGTTAGCCAATAGGCCTTTTGTGTAAGACTCTGTGATGTAAGGACCTTTAATGTAATGTAACCGTGGTATGACTGTGTGCATATCAGCTATTGATCCAGGGACTGATACGATAAGCACAGTGGATTCCAGAAATGGGGTCTGATGTTGTGCATTGCCGGTGATGGTGCGGAGAAGACTAGCGGCCATGTGAGTATCTTGTCCATGTGACGATGTAATATTCATGTTGTTGTTTACAACATTTTATCTGCTACATATACGAGAATATGACTGGCCATTTACGATATTAGTTTTTAAGATCTTTACAGAGTATAATCTGCTACAAGAAACATAGCAGTACTGATGGACTATATTCTTTAGGATAATCTGAACGTCAATGATAAAGTAACGAGATGACTCTCTAGCCGATTCTGTTGTAGCAAAATGGAGCTGCCTTTCCACACAAAACAGTTGACTTTCAAAACATGAACCCTTTTTGGCGCTTTCACATTTAAAGAGGCGTTATCATTATCAAGGAGATATAAGGTGGCATATAACAGTAATCTCTTGAATTGAATAGTGCACCGTTTCTAGAAATATGCCCAACAGAACTACTTCATTATGCAGATAATTATACCGTGTGACTAATCATAACTTCTTTCTGAACTGAGGAACAATGCAGAAGCTTTGCAACCAACATGAAAAACTTTCTTTATTTAGACTTCATATGGTACCTCAAAATCAGATCAGAACTTAAAACATCTCCACCACAAAGCAGTTATGAACAGCAACATATCTAATACAGTACAAATAAGCAATAACTGATGGTAAATGACACGGAATTTCGCTACCCAAAAGCTGTTCTTTGCCATTGATCAGTGTCCCTTAAGGAGAATGGGCACATATCTGCGTTCCTCTCATTTACAGATCAAAAACCTCCCAAACCTGTTGGTGAGATTCCTTCAAGTTGCATGGTGCAAAAGTTGCAAGCAAAGTTGCCGAAGGAACTAGGCCTTTGCAACCGCTTGCTTTGCACTGACTGCAAAGAACTCAGTGATGACCTCAAGGGGCATGCCCTTTGTCTCCAGAACCTTAAGATAGACAACACAAAGGCAATGGCACAGGCAACTGCGTATATGCCAAATACGCCTGCTAGACCAATAGCATTCAGCATCACAGGAAGACTGTATGTGACAATAATGTCTCCAACCCAAAATATCAAAGCACAGATGGCAATGCAGATGCCACGAACCCTGGTTGGAAAAAACTCTGCACATAGAATGTTGGGAATGGGGCCGAAGCCCATTTTGAAGCAGCATAAGTAGGTGATGACACTAATTGTGGAGAGCACAGCATGGACCACTGTACTCAACTCGATAACATTAGACACAACCAGGACAATTAAGATGCTATCAAGACTGGAATTGTGCTTAGCAGCAGAAACCTGAAGGAAAGAGAGGCGATGAATTATATAATGGTACTTTAGGCGGATTTTGCATATTTCGGGTAAGTGGTAGTACTAAGATGAAAAACAAACAAGTTACCTTCTTCCAGATACATCCATAAGTCTCATGGCTAAACCAATGCTAGGGAGCATAAGTAGGGCGGTGACAGAACTAATTAGGATGGATGCTGATGCCGAACTGAGACCAAGATTGGAAATAAGAACTGCCACACCAGCTTGCTCCATAATTTGCGGAGTGTAGTAGAGAACCCCATTTATTCCCGCGAACTATACGAGGGAAAGGAAATCAAGTTAGTGAACTCATGAGAGGATGCATTAAGAATCTTATCTTTGAAGCTACAAATTTCATAGGAACTTAATGAAGTGTGTGAGTTGCTTTTTTTTTCTCGAACGTGCCTTGAGCACGGTTTTCATTAAGCAGGAGAAGAGAGTTTACACGAAATTACAACTAAACACCATGGTAATCCACCGATTACCAAAGCACTACGGCCCATGGGCAACGAGTGAAATTGATTTACATAGTACTATGCTTGCGACGGGAATGACCCCTGAAGACTACATCAGTGCTAGCAAAGACAGGAGGTGCTTGTATCCCGCCAAACACCACTCCTCGGCTTCGCCCCAGATCGAGCAAGCCAGCCCAGCCGCGTCAGTAGAAGCTCCATCAAAAGTGCGTGAGTTCCTGTCCTTCCACAGTCTCCAGCCAATTAGGAAGAAGAGCGAATCGAACCCCTTTCTCGCCGGTTTTACAACGAGCTTTCTGTTGCGCATCCACCACTCCATGACATCCTCCTCATTGACGAGCACAACATCGAGGAGATGGAGTTTGGCCAGTAGAATGGCCCAGACCTCCCTGTTGTAGACACAACCCAAGATGATATGATCCATACTCTCCGTCATTTGGTCACAAGTAATGCAGATGCCACTGTCTTGCAAGCCATGGCGAAACCGCCGTTCTGCGGTCCAGCATCTCCTGTGCAATACCAACCAGAAGAAGGCACGAACTCTTGGCGGCGCCGAGGTCTTCCAAATCTCCCTTGCCCCAAGAGTCCTCGAAGCACCAAAGAACATGGCTCCATAAGCCGAGGCCGAAGAGCAAGCTCCATCCGGTGTGAGCCTCCACCAAAACACATCAGGTGTTCCCTGCAAGGGTAGAAATCGCCGAACTTGCTGCCACACAAAAATGAACTCGTTGATGACCTGAACCGTATGTGCTCCGGTGATGTGGCGCACCCAAGCATTACCCGGCAGTGCATCACATACCAGCGCCCCCCGACGCCTTGCTGCAACAGCCTGAAAGAGCGCCGGCGCCAATGACTGAATGCTTGTACCATCAATCCAGTTGTCCGTCCAGAAGAAAGTCGATTCTCCGGAGCCAACAGTGGACATTGTGGCTGCCTTGAAAACTGCAGTCACCTTCTTTTCTTTTTTTCTATGCAAGCTGGACCAATTCAGTCTTTGATCCACCCGACATTTCCACTCCCATCGGACCCTCAGTGCCACCCCAGCACGTCGCATATCAATGACGCCCAGCCCTCCAAGATCCTTTGGTTTGCAGCATGATTTTCAGGCCACTTTGCACTTGCCTGCATTGACCGTCTGCTCGCCACACCAAATGAAAGCACGTCGCCGCCTATCAATTTGCTCAATGGCCCACTGCGAAAGGCACAGCGCTATGGACATGTGGATCGGTATTGCCGAGAGTGTGGCTCTGGCTAATGCTGTCCTCCCAGCCATATTCAGCAATCTTCCTTTCCACTGTGGTATCCTGGAGGCGACAGCGTCTACCAGGCTCTGCTCATCGCTCTTCCTCAGCTTGAAAATTGATAGTGGAATACCCAGGTAGCGACATGGGAAGGCCTCGATCTTGCATAATAAAGTGTCACGCACGAGTTCTGCCTCCTGCTCCGAGCAGCCAATCGGAGTAGCCACACTCTTATCCAAGTTGGAGAACAGCCCAGACGCTAGGCCGAAGAGCTCCACCGCCCCCTTTAACAATTATGGTTCATCTAGCTATTTGAATGTTAAATTTGTTTCCATTTTTCCAAATATCAAGCATAGAGGAACAATGCGAGCGCACTTCCGTGCAATAAACTGATCGACTATGTACGGTATATATCTACCTGTTGAAGGATCTGAATTCCAATACTAACTAACAGGGCACGTCTCACACCAGGTTCAAACAGGTCCCTCCAGCTTGGAACTTTGGCAGCTGCCTCTGATGGGTGCATTGTGGCTGGACCGGCCATGCGCTGTTCTGTAATATCCCTCGGGTAAAGAGCTGACTGGCTGACCAGAGCAGCAGCATGTATGAACTTACCACCTTCAGAGGCATCACCTCCACCAGGAAGTGAGACAACAGATCCCCTTCTTGAGCCAGCAACTCCCTCTTGGTGTAAGTAGATTCTTTTGAGACTCCCTTCCTTCTTACCGTCCTCACCTTCTCGCTCTGACCATGTCCAGGCGAGCTGCCATCCGCCACCAATGCCAGTGCTGGTTGCTGCCTCACCACCCTCATCGGACAGGCTTCTTCTTCTCAAACCCAAAGCACTTCCACGGTGCCCGTGATGTGCAATGTCCTTCCCTTCGGCACTTGTATTCGGTCGGGACAGCAGAGGGCTGTGTACTTTGTTTTCATAGTCACTTGCAGCACCATCAGTAGTTGCATACTCCTCATCATCCCTATGGAGGTTCTCCTCATCCCACTGCTCGGTCTTGGGGTGCTGATCTGTGATACTGATCATACTGTCAAATTTTGAAGACATTAATCTCCTCATACTTCCTCCAGCGAGAGAGATGTTCTCATGGACACTCCCAAAAAGCGTGACAATAGGATCCGTAAGGGGTACATTTTGGTTCCCCACGCTGCCATGACGAGATCCGATAGAAAGCACACTTCCAAGCATGCTGGGTCCTTTGGAAGGCCGAGCTATCCATGATTGGCCCTCTTCAGGCCCAAATAGTATTATTTGTTCTCTATCACCATCAGCGACGTGGTCGTCAGCTGGTTCGATAGCAGGACCAATGATGTACTCTTCAATGAAGGTATCCCCTCCGACCTCCAACCCTTCAACAAGAAGAGCCATTTCGCCTGTGCAATTGCGTAACTGGGATTATTGCATGATCTTTTTGCGGGTGTCACTGATTAACAAAAAAAAAAACCTACGTGCAAACCAGAAACTGAAATATCAGTGGCACCAAATAGTCATCGTCTCAGGCTATCGGCTAACACTTCGATTATTAACAAAGTTTTAAATCTCCGGGATCGCCGCTGTACAAGGTTGCCGCTAGGATAGTTGACTTTTAGCGTTAAAGAATGAGAGGCGCTAATAGCCGGATATAGCCCGCGAAATCCGCTAAATAAGGTATGATTTAGCGCCGCTAACGTCGTCGCACCTCACTGTTCTCTGCCTGTCATCTGTCGAAGCAAAACCAGGAGCTAGCGGGGACCTTCCAGCTGTTCGCCGTGGCTGCCGGAACTCCATCCCCAGGGCGGCAGGGCCGCACCAGGTCCGGAGCTGCAGCAACAACCACTCTGCTTGATGTCGGCTTCGAGGCACGCTGAAGCACCAGCAAAGCGGCATGATACTAGCCGACTAGCACCCTGCCTCTAAGCCGAGGCCACGCATCCGCCGGCCGCCGCCCTGCCTCCGCTCGTATGGACTCCATCCTGGCAAGAAATTGGTCACCAAGATGCACTGCTGTGGGACGGGACCAAGAAATAGCATCCGACGGTGCGTTCAATTTGGAGAAGTGGGGGAGGGCAGAGGTCTCCGGAAGCTGGGAACTGGTGGCCTGGTGCCTGGATAGGAATGAGCGGCCATGGGTTGCGAGCAGCTGACCGGATAAAGATTGACTTGTTTCACAGGAGGGGATAAGGTAGTATTTTTTATATGAAATACAACTGCGAAAATGAAAAAAAGGAAAGCAGGGCACCGCCGTAGCGGCGATATAGCGGGCGATTAGCGGCTATAGCTGTTTGGTAACGGTGCTGCTAAACCCTTTAGCCGGCGATTTAAAACATTGATTATTAACCAGGTCAATCATAGTGAAATCACATTCTGATTCCCTATGTCTCTAACCAATGAGGTGTCAATTTTATTTATTCTTTTGGGTCAAACATGAACCTTTTATATATCATTAAAAATGTAATTATAATCAAATTGGATACCTTGCCAAAATCAACAGACCATGCAATGTGAAGAAATTTAGTTGCATCGATTACAGAGGAACAAGAGTGACAGACAAGCCGACACCGAATCCATTTATAAGACGTGCCAGGAGCAGTACATAGACATTCGGGGACCATAGCATAATGAGGCTGCTAGCAAAGTACAGAACTGAAGAGAGGATGAGCATAGGGAGCCGGCCAATCCAGTCTGATACTGGTCCAGAGAATGTTGTAATGATAGTTGTTCCAATTAGTGACATGGCCACAATCAGCCCCTCCACAGTAGGCTCACTTTCTAGTTTGAATTCCTTCTTTATATATAACAGAGCACCTAGAGAAGACAATTATCTTGTCAATATTTACCCCAGCTCATCTTAAACAAGATAATATTTCCAACATGTCGATAACAAAGCATAGCAAATGCTAATAATTTGACACCACATAAGGAATTGAGCAGTTCTTATTTCAACAGCTTATATAAACTGTCATTATAATCCTGAGACTATGAAACTTCCATGTTTTGTCAGCATCAAAGGACAACCAACTGATCGAATTCTCTAAAGTGCTATCCATGTACTTTGAGGGAGACCACTACACGTGTTCCTGGGGACCACAACTTGCAGTGAACAAATGATGATCCCAAGGGCCCTAGGAATCATCTGATAGAACAACGACCATACCCTGACTACATCAGATGAGAAACGGCATCACATCATCCGCATGCCTGATAAAAACGAATCTACCTGCCCACAGGATTATTTACCTGAGATGGCGGCATTGTCCCACCCCTGAAGCAGATTGCCGATCGAAGCTACTATTGCAACAAGAGCAGCTCCCGACATGTTTTTCCCCTGCACGTGAGCTCAACGATCCCTGCAACAGCGAGTTAAATTCTTGCGGAATTCGAGGTTCTCTCAGGAAGAGCAGTAATGGGCAAGAAGCCGACCAAGAGCCAACTGAAGGAGCTGAGGCCAAGAAATTAACCCATGGACGATGACTCTTATATAAGTGAAGGCAATATATCTGGAGGAAGGAATCCCTTGGAATTTGGCAGGGTGGGCATTCGATTAAAGAAGTAATTTCTGTCCATTTTTTGCCCCCTCCTATTTGGCCCCTGGGAAGTGATGGAGCCAAGCGATAGGGGAAAGAGGATGGTGTGCTGTCTCATTCATGTGTCAATGTAACGCTTCCATATTGTCACCGAGTAGCTGGGTTTATTGAGGTACAGTCAAAACGACATTAGAATTTTAAAACCGTGCTAGGAACCTAACATATTTCATGGCTATTCGGTATGGTACGGCTTCTCCCAGCCGTCAAAAAGAATAATGCAATGTATGTGCCGTCCAAATCATTCAAGTTCAACTGTCCATGTCTTCCGATCAAGAAAGATCGGTACATCCTGTCAGTATGTACTGCAATGTATGTGTCGTCCAAATCTTTTCAAGTTTAACTGTCCATGTCTTCCGATCAAGAAAGATCGGTACATCCTGTCAGTATGTACTGATAGTGATTAACAGTCAGAGTTAGTTCGAACGAAAAAGACAATGCCAAATTGAAGATATTCTTTTGAACAAGTAATAATTACATCATATTCTGACATGTATCCCAAGATAATAATTACCGTATTTAATTTACATGGCAAGACCAAATAGGTTATGAGTTGAGTCTAGGCATGCACATCGCGTAAACTCTAGAGCCCTTGTCAAGCATTTGTTGCATGAGAGTTTTACTTCTATCATTCTGTAAGGATACATACAACAGTTGAAATGGCTGCTGTCTATACACTGTACATGTCATTTTTAGACAATTCAAATGACAGCTTGTATAACCCACAATCTATTGTTGTTGCCTCATAGTACATACCGTACAAGACACATCTCGACTCTTTTCTTATATTATAGATAGTCATTTCGTCAAGAGACAACAATCTCTCTCCTCATTATAACCTCTTTGCATCGCTAGAAATCCTACGCGGCAACTCTTACAGACAGCTGATATTATACCTTAGTATGTGCTCTAACCTCGCTCGAGAAAGAAAAAAAAGAAAATAGAAAGATCTTCTTATTCTGATGGTGTAACACATCATCCTACAACATCATGATTTACCTGGAATGCAAGGAAGAAATCGAGAGAGAATATACTTACTTTGGGTCACCATTGCGTGTTCTATCTCATGAAAGAAGATGCTGGGTCTGCCTTCCCAATCCACGGAAGCAATAAGCATTTTTTTAGTTGACAAGACCAATCATCCTGTAAAAATCAAAATCTGATGTCTATTGTTACTGCTTGAGCCGATTAACCATCATTAGTTCATTGCAATTATACGCGGCATGATGTGTATCATCTCTTTGTCATTAGTCCACGTAGAAAGCCGAGAGTGCCACCTATTTGTTCTCATTATTTCAATCGGAAGCTTTGTCGTACATGCTTCAATCAGTGCTTGAGATATTTTCAACCACTGTTTCATACTCCATCCAATCTGAAATATAAGTTGTTTACTGATTCAATTTTTTTTAACATTGACCATAAAATTAGTTACATGTGAATATCATCGATATATAAATAGTTACATACATTGATAATACAAAGTTTATGTTACTTGGGGCTTCATGAAAGTAATTTTACAATATATAATTGTCATAGCTTTGTGCAGACGGGAGTAGATTTATATGTAGGGTTGTCGAGGTGAATCGTAGACGGTAGCAAGACACAGAGATATGATTTAGATAGATTCAGGCAGCCAATGGTGTAATACCCTGTCCTGCTTTGATGGCTATTGTTTTCTTATGCTCGAGACGAGATTGGATGCTTGAGTCGTGGTCACCCGAACGCTTATAAAAAGCTGGCAGTCTCCGGTTCCTTCTCGAGTAAGACAAAAATCTTTTTCTCGGATATTGGTATGACTGGGATCTGCTAAATGTCAGTAAATATTGTATCCACGCCCCGATTCACACGCCTCATTATGTCGAGGTGGCGTTCCATCAAAGCCCACTAAGGCTAAAACCCTAATGTGAACGGTCGGTTGGCATATTCCATCATTAACGGTGATGGGGGAACCGAGGGGGCGCGTAGTCACACCTTTATATCCCCCCAAATGGCCCCCTTCCATCCATTACACCAGCATCTTAGCCATTTGCTCTCGTCTTCCTCCTTGCGCGTGCGCCTCTTGAGCTCTTGCGATCTTCTCTCTTTCTCTCTCTTGAACCAAAACCCTCTTCGCCCCATTCAACCACCTCCACCAATCGGACCATGGGTCGCAGCAAGAAGGCGGCGAAGGCTTCAAAGGTGGCATCTGAGGAGGAGAGGACATGGCCGGTGTCTGTGAGCTCCGACGGGAGACTCAGGACACTGGTCGAGCGTGGCCATTTGTCGGTGAAGGAGGTTGTTAACTGGCGGTCCGCGGAAGGAGAGGCTGTCCCCACGCCAGACACAAACGAGGTACTACTCCTCTAGTCCTTTTGCCCGCGTGGATTTAGGATCCCGATCTCTCCCTTCTTCCGTGGCCTTCTTGATTACTACAGGCTCGAGGCTCATCACCTCAACCCGAACTCCATTTCGCACATTTGTGCTTTTATCCACATTTGTGAAGCGTTCTTGGGCATTCCGCCACACTTCGCTTTCTTTCGATTTCTTTTCACCCTTAAGCCCCACCCCACTCGGGCGAGCCCCAATCATGTTGGGGGAGCCGGCTTCTAGCTCCGTGAGGGGTTAAAAAGGCACTTATTTTGATTTCCCTTGGAAGACCTTGACCAAAGGCTAGAACGCCGAGTGATTTTATGTCGAGAACATCGACGGTTCCCTCCCCCCTTTTCTGGCCAGCCTCCGACTCCTCGTGGTTGCTGGACCCTTCTTCCTTCTGCTGTCGAGTTGGCCCAAGTGCCAGATCTCATCAAGATCCTGAAGGAGGAGGCGGGACTCATGCCTACGGGCATTTTAGTGAGTTGCCTGATCCGCGCATCTCTCCCATCAAGAGCCAAGTGCATCCGGAGTTTGACTTTGCGGGAGTTAAAGACCCAACGAGGGAGTCCACAGAGAACCTCCCGGAAGCAGAGCTGGAGAGACTGGTCGCGAATTCTTCGAGGCCAGTCAGATCTCTACAAAGCTGGTGGCTGACTACAAGAACGGCCCTGGCATGTACAGCTTCCGCCGACCCCGTTCAGAGATAAGATCTAAGTGGTTAATCTCTGTATTTGCTTCATTCGAGTCTTGATTTCTTGATTTCTCTAAATTTGCTATGACAGGTTCATGAGAAGTATGTCTCTCTCCCCCCAACACTCCCGTACTTCCCTAGGTCGGTGAGAGGCGTGCCGCCGAGACGCCGACCGAGGAGCTCACCGAGCGGCAGTGCAAGAAGCTACCAAAGGGGACCCCAGTACTCCATCCGCTCCGAGGGCCCTTTCGCAGAGGCTTGAACCCACCCATCAGCCGAGTCCAACCCTCAGGTAGGCGCGCTATCCCAGCTGGACGAGGCACTCCACTACCAGGTTAGCCTCGTGCCCTCGTTCCTTAATATTTTCTTCCTTTTGTTGTTCAGTCATTGACTCTGACTTGGACTCGGCTTCCCAGCGCGTAACCATAGCCACGGTAAGGCCTCTTCCGCAGGCCACGGAGGTGACACAACCGGTTATCCCTCCGGTGACCTTCGGGACGAGTCTGCACGCATCAGTGGCGGCGATACCACTCTGAGGTGCTCTGCCAGGGCAAAGCTCCGGGCCGGTGCTCCGAGTGGTGTCCCCTACCTTCCAGCGCCACTTCGATAGGTGAGCAGAGCTCTCTCTTACTTAACCTTGAAGTCTTAATTTTTATGCTTCAATGCCATCCTTTTCTTGTTGACGTAGGGCGCCGATTGTTGATCTCACCGACGGTCCAGGCGCCGCATCAGGCGACACGAGTGCCGCGCCTGCCACCAACTCGGCTCCTATCACCACTGGCGACCCATCAGGCGAGGTGCAGTCGGCCGCAGGGAGGGAAACGACACTTTCTTCGACATCGCTGGCCGCTGACCAAACGGACACCGGCACTGCGACGAATGAGGAGCGTGTCTCGAGCCCTGCTCCGACTACTCCATCAACCCAAGTGGCTCCGAGTGCTGCTACTGCTGCACCAGCCCTGCCTGCTCCTAAGGCTGCTCCTTCGGCTCCAGCGACGGGCCCCTCGTCCTTAGCGTCGAACCAGTTGGCACCTGACCCAAAGGGCCCTGCCGCTGCCGACATGGAAGACTCCGAGGAAGAGGAGCGCCCGCGGCCAGAGTACGATGAAGAGATCGCGGGGGCCAACACTGTGCCCCACTTCGACTACACCAAGGAGTCGATCTGGACATGGTGGATGAGTCCGAGTGGCGTGGTTTCAACACTGGAACCGAGGAGATAGACCACTCGACTCTGAAGGACGAGCTCGAGAGATTCTAATCTCTTTTCATGGTGAGTCACCTTTGCACTCTGACTACCCATTATTTTAGGCCAAGTCATTAGAGCTTTTTTTATTTCTTCTTTATCTTGTCTTCTCAGAGAATCTCCTTGCGGAACCACCAGAAGACCGAGTTCCTAAGGATGATGCTTCCCCGCATGGAAGAGACCGAGCATCTAGGGAAGCGGGTGAAGGTCCTTCAGGACTGGCTTCAGGCTGCCAAGTCGCGGGAGACCGAGTCCCGGGCTCTGCAGGAGGCTAAGGAGGCTGCCGAGCAAGCCATTGCGGGTAAGTGCTACTGCACAAGCCCAGTTCTTCTTCTTCTTCTTGTCGTAGTTCTAACCACTCTGTTGCAGCCAAGGACACTGAGCTCGCTCGTCTGAAGGCTTCTATGGAAAAGCTTGGCAGGCCAAGGCCATCATCCAGCAACAGCTCAAGGAGAGCCAAGAAGTGGCCCAGGTCCTGAAGAAGAAGCAACAGCTGGAGAAGTGGCCCTCTCAAAAGCTTCTACCTTTCCCCTTGTGGTTTTGTGATCTTCTTGTTATTGACAGCGCGTCGGCTGAATGCTTTGGCACAATTTGAAGTGCTGAACTCCCAAATCCAGCTGAAGGACGAATACATCTCTTCGCTGGAAATGGGGATCGATCCACTTCTCCGGAGTCTTCACGCCGAGGTCGCGCCGGAGCACCAGCAAGAGACCCGACTAGAGAGGCACCATGAAGAGCAAGTCCACCTTCTTCAGGAGGGCACCAAGCTCTTGGAGGCCGACCGACGAAGCTACGCCGAGTCCTCCAGTGCCCACACCCTGGCGCACGTGAAGGCGTTCTACCTAGGGGTGGTCCTAGAGATGTTCAAGGACGGGCTTCCGAGGACGATCACCGACGAGGAGGCAGAGTTGCTGGTAGATTCCTGTAGGCCAACGGCCAAGGTCATTGCTAGTGACCTGTTTACGGAGTAAGGTGGACTCCGGTTGTAAAAAAAAAAAGTGTTAATATAATGCAACTTTCCGTTTCTCAAAAACTTCTCCCGAGTACATAAAATTGCTACGACAAGAGCCTTTGAAAAAACCTAGTTGAAAAATAGGTGTGTGAATAGTGCACCTATTAGGTGTATCCCCAAACTCTCTAGCAAGCCAGCAAACCGACTAGGTAGAGAGTCCATGAAGACTTAAACACTGAAATAAGATCATAAAGAATCAAAGAAAAAATAGGTGCACGAATAGTGCACCTATTAGATATAGCCCCCCGACTCTCTAGCGAGTCAGCAACGCGACTCGATAGAATCCATGAGAACAAAGGGAATAAATCAACTTCTGGAACTAAACCCTTTCTGAGAAACTAGTTTTCATTTTGCAGATCCAACCACCAAACCAACTTTGATAAGCTACCCAAGTGCTAGGAAACGGCAATGCCAAGTACACTTAGCCTCGAGCGACTAAAAACCATCACCAAATTTGATAATCTTCACCACTCAGAATCTGATCAGTTGGCTAGGTTCCTTGTGGTGGAACCTGCCCATCCGGGTTTAAGTCCTCGACTTGGCACGGGTGCTCGTATTTTTCTGAATTTATTCTAGGATTTAACGGCGTTATGCTTTCAGTGGTAGGCGACGCTCCCGTCGACAACGAGGCACCTGTAATGACTTCGTGAATCTCGAGATCTGTCAGCTCAGTCCTTCGAAGGTGCTCATAGGGGTAGGGTTTACGTACGTGTGTTCATAGGGGATGAGTGTACATGCGTGTTGTGGACGTCTGCGTTGTATGTAATTCTCAAAAAAAAAAGAATCCTAACGACTCAGAAAAAAGTACAGAAAACCAGTCAACTTTCATCAAATTTTCCCAAATAATCAAGTTTCATATTGCAAACTGGGATGCCATTAAGCATGATGGCTCATATGAATCAGATCCAGCAGTTTTTGCTACAGAACTGCAGTCACAAATGCATAATGGCACTACCATATAATCCTATGCATTTGTGATTTTTAAGAAAGGTTAGCCTCTGATTTCCAAGTTTATTAAACTTCCTTTGAAAGCTTCCAAATTTGCCTGTAGGTGTTTTCTGTGTGTGTAGTATGTACTACAGTACTAATAGTTTCTCATCTTTCTCTTTTCTCGATGTTGCTGCCAGCAATTAGTTTGCATTTATTTATGTCCAGCAGAGATGCATCAGTCATCATAGTGGGTCTGTTCGGCTGGATTTATTTTGGCTCCGGTTGATTTGTTGTGAAAAAAAATACTATTTTCTGACTGATAAGCTAAAGCGGAACAGAGCTGGCATATTATTTTGATAGATGACAGTAATTACTCAATAGTACTATGTAGACATTAGTACTGACTAAGGCATCGGCATTAGTACACACAACTGATGAATGAGTGATGGGATCACAAGACAGAGTTTTACCCAACAGGATGAATCTGGAGCCTATTACTATTATTCTGCCCTAGGGCTCACAAGTAAATAAATGCGTTGTGAGTTGTCGTGGTTAATGTTGTCCTCTATTGGGCATGGACCTTTCTGTTAATTTTTGTACTGCTAGAGCTGAGCACTCCTTTTATCTTATTTGTTTTACCACATTGAATTGATTTTGTTTATGCTGTATTTTTTTGAACTCTATTGTGTGGGGCCACTGCTTGAGGTAATCCATCCAGTTTGCTCGTAGTTGCCTGTGATGGTTGAATTCTGCACGAATTTAATGGTTTTAGTTGCTCTGCCTGCAGCTGGTGTTATATGCTTCCTGGTGCTGGGCCTTTGTCCCCTTGAGGTTAGTGCATCCTGTTCCTTGTGTGTTTTCTTTTCAAATGTGTTGATGCTTACCTGGTGGTTCTAAGTTAGATGCTAGAACTGCTAACAGCATTGATTTACTTACTCATCCTAAACCAAGAGTTCAGGTTACTAGCAGATCACAATGAAGTACTTTAACCAATTCTCTCTGGCAGTACCTTTCCGAGGCATGCACGTCTTGTTTGTTTAAATTTTATCTGTGGCCACCTTTCAATTTATGTCAGATTTTGTGCCCTGTTACTAGCAAAACTTATCGTGTGGCCTATCATTAATCTTTTGTGCTGATTCTAAACAAAGTAGTGCATGGGTGTAGTTATATTGGTGTCTTTCTCTGTTGTGCATGCCTGCTCCGCATAATTTAATTTAGTTTCTAACGTATGTCAACAGAATTGAAGTTAAAAATTGCTCTTGTGGCAACTACTACAGACTGCTATTTTGACTCATCTGCATCCCAAAGCTCAGTTCAGTAGCAGTTGGCTCTTGGTCAAGTGTCAATTATGACATTTATATTCTCACAATGCTGCATTGATTATTGTAAAAATGGTCATCTAATGATTTCTTAATCTCAAAAGCGATATATTATTTTATGTATAGTTCAAACCTTACCAGTCTTGAGGCTCTTTCCATAGCTTAAGCTTCTGGTAGCATGCAACATGAACATGATCGCAACAATTCTTGTAATTTTATGTTGTTGAGCTTGTTTGCTGCTCTTTTTTATAAGAATATTAACTTAGCCTTCCGTGCAGTTTGAAATGGATGATTGCTTTCTTTATCTCTTCAGCATATTCCGCATGGCAAAAATTTAGTGGCAGATAATGCTATTCTTTTTCAGGTGTTGCCCATTACAACTGTATGCCTTTCTTTGGGTCTAGACCTTATGTTATCAAGATTCTGGTCACTTTGATATAACTGGATGCTTCTTTGGATAACGAATTCTTAGCTTCAATTACCTTTTGACATTCACTTTTTTTCCTTGTCAAATCCTGGATAGGGGGAAGACACATGGTTCATTAACTCTGACGAACAGTCCACTTGGATATTATATCCTTCCTAGCAATGGTTTTGAAATTTTGATGTTTGGATTGGACATGTCCGCAGTACACGTTGGAATAAAGGCCATTCTACTTTGGGTGCTTTGACAGTTTATCAATTCTCAGTTGTTGGCCCACGGGATCACTGTCGACGATAGTGAATTAGTCTTCAGACCACTAGTCTCCCAGACCAGACCACTAGTCTCTCAGACCACTAGTCTTCCAGACCAGACCACTAGTCTCCAGACCAGACCACTAGTCTCCAGATCACTAGTCTCACAGACCACTAGTCTCCCAGACCACTATACCGGTTGTGTTCGTACCCACACACTATGGATCGAGCTAGAAGAAGAAGGAAGAACAGAGCAAGCACGCACAATACAAGACAACAACGTTGGCCGAGGCCCTGTCTGTGTGATGGCAAATCTGAGCTCTCTTTACTGAGTTGCTTTGGTGCCCTATTTATACAACTCTATCTATCTAACTAAAGTATAGCGCACATGCTGTAACAGTAACTAGATAAGCATACAGGGCTGACTCTGCGCCGGCCTCTGCATGTGCCTACAGTGCTGCAGGTGAGCCATGCGGCGCCTACACCTACAGCGGCTACAGTATTACAGCAGGGGGCAAAGTCGGCGCCGCCTTCCTCTGCTGTGTTTCACACAAGGTGACAGTAGATTAGCTAACATCAGTTACCTACAGTTATGCGAATTATTTGTTTTTTCACTCGTCTAGGTGCCTTTCAGTTCTTGTTATTCAGATTATGATGACCCTCTGTTCCTGGACCTGTGCATTCTTCTTGTGTGCTTTTTTCCTTCAGCATATTAGTAACTTAGTCATGTGTATGCTCGTGATGGTCAATGAAACCTTGATACGGGTTTCACTCTCCTTAACACTAGAAACATGGGTGTGGCTTTGCCACGCCTACACCAGATTTGTGGCAGTGTAGAATTTAGTGTGAGACTATAAGTCATAGTGACCTACAGTTCTCTCGAGATGATGTATCTACTTAAATCTGCGCATTGGTGAGTAGACATAGTCTCTGATGATGTTTCCACCTAAATCTTTGGCCCAGGTTAAAAAACTGAGGTAAGAATGCTAGGAGTTGATTGAGATACTGATCCGAGCCCTTTGCTCCTACAAAGAAGTCAGTTTCTTCTGTTGGACCAATGCTATAGATGACTTCTCTCTAGCTTCTTCACATGTGTTGCCTGAGCTGCATTTGTCAGCCTCCTTCTAATACTGTGAAGCTAATTTCTAGACCTCGAGCAACTTAACATCAGCCTCTTGCTGGGCTTGTGTTGCCTCCTCTTCTCTCTGTTTTAGTTCTTCTACAAGTAGCTCTCAAACTTTTTTCTGTCTGTTCACCGGATGCGCGACTCTTGACCCCTTTGAAGTGTTTAGCACAATCTGAAAACATGGAAAGGCGTGAGTTTCATTTAAAGCACAATAATCAGAAATTGATTAACTCCACTTTGTCATGTCTGTCTCAATCAAAGACATAATCAGGCCCCTATGTTTATTGCGAAGATAATTCTAATATATCATGGCATAATGATAAAAATCTACTTTGAGATATGGTATTATTGTGATGTCCAGCTCTCAGCACTTTTTCGATACGTTAGTTGCCCGTAACATTAAAATATATATATATATGTATATATATATGTATATATATATGTTAGGATCATAAAGCCGGTAAAATCACTCAATCGTTTATTTTATGCATGGTATGGGTCAGCTACCTGTCGGATACCATAAAAAGGGGTACCCTAAGTAAGAACCGAAAAAATTGCTTAGACCTTATAAATATTGAAGCCAAGAGACAACCCCGAGGTCGAGGCCGATTCTCCGATTCGCCCGAGGCCCACGCCGCAAGGCCTCGGACGAGGTACCAACTCTCTGCCTCGACCGAGGCCCCTCCCGAAAGGCCTCGGACGAGGTACCGATTCTTCGTCTCGCTCGAGGCCGGCTCGGCATCAGCCCCGCCGTAGCTTTGACCGACCTCTCTGACGGAGCGTCACATCCAATTGAAGCACTCAACCACTCCCACAACGTCAGCCGCGCGACGGCACGGTACAGCAGGGTAACCAATGAGATGGAAGTCGCATCGGCGCCCTACCATCCGGGACTGGACGGGGCGGGGG